TCGCCGCCACTGCCTCACACGTGCCGGCCGCTGCCGCCGTTGGAACTGTCGCTGGGGGCGCCCCATCGGCACCGCTGCTGGAACCCTCCGGCCCCTGCGTTGGTGCTACCTGCATCACGAACGGCGTTGCCACTGGCACCTGTGGCTCCTGCTGTACCGCCGCCGCGCCCCTTGATGACGACGGAAGCCCTGGCTCTTGTGGCGACTGCCCTTGCCGCAGCCAGCCCAGGAGGGGTCCCGGGGGACCAGGCCTCAGTCCTGCTCCAGGCCGCCTTGCTGCTGGCTGGGCGCGGGGCCGCTTCCCCTTTTTCCCGCAGGCGGCGGGAGCAGCGGCGCTCTTCCCGCGGCCCTGTCTTCCGTCCGCCGCCTGGTCGCGCTCCTGCGTTCCTGCGCCCTCGTCAGCAACAGGCATCCCGGCGAACTCAGCGGCAGCCCCTACTCCCTCCGCGCTCGTTCCACCATCCTGTGTTCCCACCGCCGCCGTCACAACCGCAGCGATCACCGCCGCAACCACCGGCGCCGGGGACGCCGCCAGCCCCGCCCCCTCTTCCTCCTGCTGTCCCGGTTCCGCAACCAGCACCCGCTCCTCAGCCAGCCGCGATGCAGCCAGGGGGGTGGCAGAGGGTGAAACTGAGCCGCCGTCAGAGGCAGCGGCTGTCCCGTCAGCAGCAGCAGCGCCAGGCACCACCGCAACTGCCGCCTCAGCCACCGCCCCCGCAGCCCCCGCCCCCTCGACCGCCTTCTCGCCATTGGTTTCCGCCACCATTGCAGCCCCAGCGACGTTCACCCCCCGTGTCACCCGCCCCTCCGTTTGTTCTTCCCCGTAACCCCCCCCTTCCCCAGGATGGTCCGTCCGCGGGCGCCTTCCCTCGCCTCTTCGTTGGTGGGCGCGAGGTGCCGATACCGTGGGGGCAGTGGGCTCCTCCAGCGTCGCCGCCAGCTCCAGCTGTGGTTCCTGACGCGCCATGGAGTCCGACGGGCGAGGGCTCCCCTGATGGCGTCGCAGAGCGCGCAATGAACGTGGGGACGTGCTTGTCCCTGCTGTCTTACCTCCTCGACCAGCTCCACCTGTGCCTGGAGCGGCAAGGGCTGGAGATCCAGGGTCTGCTGCCGACGGAGCTGGCGGCGGCGGAGGCTGCCGCGGCGGAGTTGCAGCAGTTCCTCCCCCTGATTGGGTACTTGCCTGGCTCCCCTGGCGCTGCTCTCGGGCCCGGCCCCCTGGCTTTGCTGGAGCTTGCTGGCACCACTCGGCCTCGTGTCAGCAGCAGCATCCGTCCTGCGCTGGATGGACGGGCGGTTATGCTGGATCCTCTCCGAGTAGCCACTTTCTTTCCCTTGCCAGCCACCTTGGTTTTGGGCTGGCCCTTGGGCTTCCCCATGGCGTTGAAGTTCACCCTGGGGGTGTTGTTGTTGTTGTTGTTGCTACTGCCCCATGTTGTATGCCTTCCTGCTCATGTGTTGTCTCTCCTAGTTTCCTTCTCACCCCTCACGCGCGGCCGAAGGCCGCGCTAGCGAGCGGCGGCCGCCGAAGGCGGCCGGCGCGAGCCGCTGGAATCTGAGAGTGAAAGGAACTCAACAGAACACAATGACTGGAAACAAGAGCTCCTAGGCCTTATATACTAGGGAAGAGAGGCTAAGAGAGGCTTAAGAGAGGCTTGAGAGAGGCTAAGGACTAGTTCCTAGTGCCTCTCTCTCTCTCTCTCTCTCTCTCTCTCTCTCTCTCTCTCTCTCTCTCTCTCTCTCTCTCTCTCGTTCTCTCCCTCTCATTCTCTCCCTCTCGTTCTCTCTCTCTCGTTCTCTCTCTCGTGCTCTCTCTCGTTCTCTCTCTCGTACTCTCTCTCGTTCTCTCTCTCTCGTTCTCTCTCTCTCGTTCTCTCTCTCTCGTTTTCTCTCTCTCTCTCTCGTTCTCTCTCTCTCTCTCTCTCTCTCTCTCTCTCTCGTTCTCTCTCTCTCTCTCTTGTTCTCTCTCTCTCTCCCTCTCTCTCTCTCTCTCTCTCTCTCTCTCTCTCTCTCTCTCTCTCGTTCTCTCTCTCTCGTTCTCTCTCTCTCGTTCTCTCTCTCTCGTTCTCTCTCTCTCTCTCTCTCTCTCTCTCTCTCTCTCTCTCTCTCTCTCTCTCTCGTTTTCTCTCTCTCTCTCTCTCTCGCTCTCTCTCTCTCTCTCTCTCGTTCTCTCGCACTCGCTCTCGCTCTCTCATTCCTCCCGTCCGTCCTTCTTTCCTTCCCTCCTACCTTCCATACTTCCTTTCATCCTTCCTCCATTATGTTTACTGCTTCAGTTTGCTGTTTTCGTTTTCCGCTTCTGTTTTCTGCTTCCACCTTTTCATCATCCGTGATTTTGTATCCTGATTATTCATGTCTAACAGTTTTCTATGATTTCCTTTTCTCTGTATCTTTTTTTTTTTCTTTTTTTGTTCTCAGGAGTCTTGCTAATCCGGAAGACGAGTCCAATATGGAGAATTTGTAGTTGTCACTTATAGGATTTACCATATTGCCATTTTTACTTTGTTTGCATGTTTTATGTATTTTCGTGGGTTTCTGTGTCAGTAGAGCTACACTGTGAGATCCCCGATCGATCCTAAGGGGGTTACAGGCGCGTTTGCCTGGGGGGTTATGGGCGCACTGACCCGCTACTGAAAAAAGCCCTTTTATCCCAATGGTCTAGTGGTTGGGATTCTGACATGGTATCAGAGCGGTCTCGGGTTCGAATCCCGGTGTATGCACATGTTGGCCGTTGCCACTGTGCTCAGTCCTGGGCCTCCCAGTGTGGGGGGGTGTCAGTAGAGCTACACTGTGAGATCCCCGATCGATCCTAGGGGGGTTACAGGCGCGTTTGCCTGGGGGGGTTATGGGCGCACTGACCCGCTACTGAAACAAGCCCTTTTATCCCAATAGTCTAGTGGTTGGGATTCTGACATTCTGGCTCGTTTTTTTGCTGTTCATGTGTTTGGTTCTTGTGAATGTGTTTGCTTGTCTAAGTGTGCATTCATGTATCATTGCAATGACAATGCATGTCTGTGGGTTTTAAAAGGGTGAATCAGGTCTATCATTTCATTAGAAGGTTCATTGGCGCGCCTGTCGGGAGCCCTTCTGAGCTGGAGATGATAGAGTTGACCATCTTTTTAGAGTTCACAGATTGTGTTGTTTCATGTGACTGCTGATTGTTCAAGGATTATGCTGTTAGCTCCCCCCCATGCTAGGCAGGGGATGCGATAGCATAGTTTTTGGATCGTTAGCTTTCACGCATTTATATCATAGACTAGTATGCATGTATTTCAACATCAAACATTATGCATACTGAAGCATTATTGTCATCATTGCATAATGCATTTATAAAATTTGCATCATTATATTCATTCAAGCAAGCATGTATCATTATATTCATTCATGTATTATTATATTCATCTAAGCACAAGTGTATAATTTATAACAAATATGCATTTCATGACAGTCACGTAATTACCACTATACCATCCGACATACAAAAATATGCCGTAGTGCGAACAGAAAAATCACTACCATCACATCACAATTGAATGTAGACAATACTTACTGGTCATGTAGCTAGCGACTAGTGCATCCTGTTTTTTTATTTCACATTTTATTTTAAATAACTAAAATATGGAAAAAAAATATGCCCAAATCGATCGTAAAAAAAAAATAGTGTTGGCGTACTTGCGCCATGTATTTCTCCCCCGTCGTCAGCTGTTGCGCCCCCGCTGGGAGTTGGGAACTTGAGTTCCGCAAAGCAGTTTGTGAACCCAAACGCAACGACCATCTAAAGCAGGGTCCCTCACACACGATGTTATCACTTGGCCACAATGACGCCAGCCAACACAGCAATAAGAGCGCAGATTAGCTAGTCTAACCGTCTCGCCTCCTCACCCGCCCATCGCACGCATTTCGTTCGAGTAGGGTGTAGTGTTGTTCGCGGACACACGACTCTTTTATTGGCGAACCATCGCGATCCACGTTTATCGCTAAGTTACACGCGATATCCCCATACATGCGAGAGGACGTCCGCGCGATCAACGAAAATCCCCAGGGTGAGCAGAGGAATCGTACAACCCCACTTATTGTGCCCCACATCGCGCGCCCACCCTGTCGACGTCGCCATCGCTCCCTCCCTCACATCGCCCACGCACACTCCCCTCGTCCGCCCACGCGCACTCCCCTTCTTCGCCCACGCACACTACCCTCTTCCGCCCTCGCGCGCTCCCCTCTTTCGCCCACGCACACTCCCCTCGTCCGCCCCCGCGCGCTCCCCTCTCTCGCCGTTTCTCACTCCCCGCGGCCGTCCCCGCGCACTCCCCTCTTTCGCCCACGCACACTCCCCTCGTCCGCCCCCGCGCACTCCCCTGATTCATCCCCACGCTCACTCCCCTCCCTTCGGGCACGCGACGCTGTTCCCTCCGTCACACACGCTCGCTCCATGAAGTCGCCCACGCCTTCACCACTCCGACACCCACCTGCATCTCCCTGCTAAGCAGATTTGGCAGCAGCAGCCCCCGTCCATTCCCCCTTTGCAACCCTAAACTCCCTCTCCCCCGTGCTCCCCCGACGTCTCCACCCTACCTCCCCTCCTTCCCCCCCCCTGCTTTGGTTTAGGCAGGGCGGACCGTAGCTTGCTGGCATTAGCGCAACGGGCGGACGAGCAGCAACACCAAGCGGCGGCGAGTTCAGAAAATCAGCTGCTAAGTCGCGGTTGTGCTGAGCGATTGCGAGGTACGGCGACACCACCTGCTTTGGTATGCCTCATCGTCATGTCGGGTGCCTGTTCCTGAATTTCCGCGCCCCCTTCATTCGCACATTGCGGCTACTCCACTCCCCGCCCCTCTGCGAGCATCTCCATTCCGCACTGACCGCGTCTCGTTCTTCCATCGTCACATACCCTTTCCACCCTTCACCTGTCGGCCTTACTCTCTTTTCCCCCCTAACCCCCCTCTGCCTTACGCCCATCCTCCCCTCGCTCGCCCTCAATCTTACACTCTTCTTCTCCCACCATGCGTCCCCTGCATAACGCCCTGCTTCCCCCTTTCCCCTGTCTTCCCTACACCATTATTCCCCCTCTGCCCTCCTTGCCTTACGCCCTTGTTCCCCCCATCCTCTCGGCCTTACCCCCTTCTTCCCGTTCTCTTCCTTACGCCCTGCTTCCCCTCTTTCCCTCTCTGCCCTCCATCCTACTCCCCCTTATCCCCTCTCTGCCTTACACCCTTCCTCCCCCTGTCCCCTCTCTGCCTTACCCGGTCCGCCATTCCCACCTTTCTGCCTTATGCCAGTCTCCCCCTTTTCCCAACTTCCATACGCTCTTCCTCCTCCTTCCCCCTCTCTGCTTTACGCCACTCTGCCTTACTCCCCTACTTCCACCTTTTCCCTATCTCCCTTGCTCTCTTCAGCCCCCTTCCACCTTTGACCACCAGATAATGCACCGTTGGTCCCCTTTGTTCCTTTTCTCAACCCGCCACCCTGTTCTCCCCTCTCCGCTGTACACCCTCCTTCTCCCTCTTTCCTCACTCCCTTACCCCCTTCTTCCACCTATCCCCTCAACGCCTTACACTCTTCTTCCCCCTTTTCCCTCTCCACCCTACACCCGTCTTTCCCATCTCCCCTCTCTGCCTCCCTCCCATCTTCCCCCTTTCCCCTCTCTCCTTACACTCTACTTGCCCCACCATGCGTTCAGTGCCTTACACAGTGCTACTTCCTTTTTCCTCTCTTCCTTACACCTTACTGAACCCCTTTCCCCTCTCTGCCTTACGCCCATGCCCCCACCGTTCACTCACATCCTTACACCTTTATTCCCCCGCCATGAGTTAGAGGTCTTACAACCTTTTTCCCCCATTCTCCACTCTGCCACACCCCCTTCAACCTCCTTTCCACCCTCTGGGCCTTACGCCCACCTTCCCCCCTTTCCCTCTCTTCACTTCAGCCTACTTCTTCTTTCCCCTCACATCCTTATGCCCTGCGTCTCCCTTCCCCCACTCTCCTTACACTTTTCTCATTGCACCATGAGTTCACAGCCTAACGCCTGCTTCCCCCTTTCCCCTCTCTGCCTCACACCCTTCTTCTTCCTTTCCCCACTCTGCATTACCACCTTCGTCCATGTCTCCAACCTCGGTGCCTTGCACCCTGCTTCCCCCTTTTCCCTCTCTTCCCTACACTCTTCTTCCCCCTCTCCCATCACGGCCCTACACCCTTATACCCCCTTTTCGGGCACATCGTTAAACCCTTCAATCCCCACCATGCGTTCTCTGCCGTCCCGCCCTTCTTCCCCTATTCCCCACACTGCCATACCTCCTTCTTCCGCTTTTACACCCTCTCTGCCTTACGCCCTTCATCCCCCTTTTCCCCTCCTCCTTTTTTTCCTCTGCCCCCTTTTCCCCTCTCTTCCCTTCACCATTCTCGCCCCCTTCCCCTCTCTACCTTACACCCTTCTTCCCCACCAAGCGTACTCTCCCTATCGTCCTGCTAAACCGCTTTTCCCCCTCTTCCCTACACCCTGTTTCCCCCTCTCTCTGGTATGCCTTGCGCCCTGCTTCCCCCTTTCCCCTCTCTTCCCTACACCATGCGTCCCCCTCCCCCTTGTCTACTAAACACCCTTCTTCTCCCTAATCCGCCTTATCCCTCTCTGCCGTACTCCCTGCTTCCCCCATGTCACTCTCTACACTGCACCCGTCCTCCCCCTCTCCCCCCTCCGCCTTACACCTTTCTTCCCCCTTCCCTTCTCTGCCTTATACCCCTTTCCCCCTCATACCACTCTGCCTCACTCCCCTTATCCCACCTTGTCCCTGCCTATCACCAACCTTATCCCCTTTCCCTCCCTGCCTCTCACCCTTCCTATCTCCTTTCCCTCCCTGCCTTACCCCCTTCCTATCTCCTTTCCCTCCCTGCCTCTCACCAACCCTATCCCCTTTGCCTCCCTGCCTCTCACCCTTCTTATCCCCTTTCCCTCCCTCCCTGCCTCTCACCAACCCTATCCCCTTTCCCTCCCTGCCTCTCACCAACCCTATCCCCTTTCCCTCCCTGCCTCCCACCCTTCTTATCCCCTTTCCCTCCCTGCCTCTCAACCTTCCTATCTCCTTTCCCTCCCTGCCTCTCACCAACCCTATCCCCTTTGCCTCCCTGCCTCTCACCCTTCTTATCCCCTTACCCTCCCTGCCTCTCACCCTTCTTATCCCCTTTGCCTCCCTGCCTCTCACCCTTCCTATCACCTTTCCCTCCCTCCCTGCCTCTCACCAACCCTATCCCCTTTCCCTCCCTGCCTCCCACCCTTCTTATCCCCTTTCCCTCCCTGCCTCTCAACCTTCCTATCTCCTTTCCCTCCCTGCCTCTCACCAACCCTATCCCCTTTGCCTCCTGCCTCTCACCCTTCTTATCCCCTTTCCCTCCCTGCCTCTCACCCTTCTTATCCCCTTACCCTCCCTGCTCCTCACCCTTCTTATCCCCTTTGCCTCCCTGCCTCTCACCCTTCCTATCTCCTTTCCCTCCCTGCCTCCCACCCTTCTTATCCCCTTTCCCTCCCTGCCTCTCACCAACCCTATCCCCTTTCCCTCCCTCCCCCACCTCCCCACATCCTTTATCACCCTTACCCCTATCCCCTTACACATTCTCACCCCCTTACACCCCTTGATCCACCTGTCCCCTCACAACCTTACATCCATCTTCCCCCTTTCACTCGCTGCCTGGAACCCTTCTTCTCCCTTTCCTTTCGCCGCCCACACCAATCTTCCCTGCATCCCCTCTCTGCCAGGCACCCATCTTCCACCCATCCCCTCTCTGCCTTACCCCCCTTCTTCCTGTTGGTGCAACCCTACGGTTTGCACTCGGCTTGTTGTCCGTGTGCGTGCATGCGTGTGTGCATGGAATGGAATGAGGGCATGAAATAAATATATATTTCATGCTCACAATATTGTGTGTATGATGGGTCATGATGTCGAGTGTGTGTGTGTCAAGTCTATAGCGAATTATCGCTAGTCGCGTGTAACGCGGTCATTTTGTGTGTCCCGCGCGGTTTCTATTTTGTCGTGCGCGGTTTCTATTTTGTCGCTTGTCGAACGTTCGGCGCAGGGCTGACTTTATCAGACTAAAATAGTCTGATTGTCTGAAATCTCAGGGTATTTTCCTACGGATCCTGATTTTTCAGACTTGTAAGATTTTCAAACATGAGTGCCTCAGACTTACTTGGTTTTGGATCCTGAGATTTTCAGAGTACTGACTTAGCCGATAATGGGTCTTCATACTACAGGGAGTACGGATCCTGAAATGCGGATCTGTGATTTCTACGTACATTCCGCTACGTCATATGTTGCCAGTGTACGAACACACTTCATGGCGCTGTCACGCGCAGAATCTGTCCTTGGCAACTTTTGCCACCCTTTTCCCTTAGAAATCTGCCAACTTGGCTCACTCTTCCACTCACGCGGGACCATCACTGCAGCTACGCGGTGTCAGCGAGGGAAGCTGGTTAGCGTTGCGCCCCACGTGCTACATTTGTGGCAGTACTGTACTGCAGTGGTTGTAGTGTGTTCTGAGTACTTCAGACTTGTGTTTTTGCGGAACCTGAAAAATCAGAGTGGCCATTCTCTGGGAAATATGCCTCAGACTAAAAAAATTCAGAGCCCCCAGAACATCAGACTGGATTTTTTTGAATAGTCAGCCCTGGTTCGGCGTGTCGCAGGTGTGTGCAGCAGACCCATCAAGAACTCAAGGATGAGTTTGTGATGAAGAACCCGAGCCTTGGTTGCAAGTTTCAAGTGATTTCGAAGCTCGCCAAAAGGGTACACCTCAAGATATCAAGATTCGTTACATTACAATGTGTAGTGTAACATTTCAGTTGGTGTAGACCCTAGTGAAGGGTAGTTTCGAGACCCTTCGTGGTTGGGGACAGTGTGGCACTGTTCCACATCACTGTATCTCGGCTCTTGGGGTTTGTAGGAGCTGGGAGTCATTCCCAACTCGTAACTCTTCCAACTCTTCCTAATTTGTGTTTCTAAGACTATAGTGGCTGCCATAGTGCCGTTCGTTCAAACCGACGCTGTGTCGTCAATTCTTGATGAAATCGTGCGATCTAAATTGCCTATTGTAGGCAACGTTAAGGCGCTCCAGATCCAAGTTGGAGTTGTGAGCAGATCGCTATGAACGTTTAAAGCCGCTGTGCAGAAATCCGACTGTGCACTCTATCCTTCGTTTTAGGCACATTGAAGCCTACTGTGACTATAACACTTCCGCCTTTCCACCCTCTCCGCCCTACGCCCCTCTACCCCCTTTTTTCCCATCCTCGTACGCTTTTCTTCCCCCCGTTCCCTCTCTTCCTTACACCATTATTCCCCAGAGCTGCTCTGCCATACTCCCTGCTTCCCCCACAACCCTCACTTCCCTACTCCCTTTTTCCCACTCTCCCCGTCTCCCCCTCTCGCAGCAACCTACATGCTCCCTTACGCAGCCCGCACTCCCTCTCTCCCTTCTTCTCCCTTTTCCCTCGCTGCCCACCCTTATCTTCCCTGTATCCCCTCTCTGGCCTACACACTCCCCTTACCCCTATCCTCTCTCTGCCATCCACACTTATTCCCCCTATCCCCTCTCGGCCTTACCCCCGATCGCCCACCGTTCCACCCTCTCCGCCCTACATCCCTCTCCCCCCTTTTCCTCCCTTTCTACACCCTTGCTCCGCCCATTCCCGTTTCTGTCTTCCCCCCTTCTTCCCCCCGTTCCCTCGCTTCCTTACACCCTTTTTCCCCCATGACTGCACTCCCTGCCATACTCCCTGCTTTCCCACTTCCCTCACTTGTCTACACCCTTCTTCCCTCTCTCGCTCCCTGTGCCCTCTCACGCAGCTACCTCCATGCTCCCCCCCTTGCCCTATCACGCTACGCCGTCGACTGTCCCCTTGCGCCTAAATCACTTTCTCACTATGTCTACTCTCACCCTAAACCCTGTCCTTCTTCCCCTCGCCAGCACAGCGCCCTCCTCGTTGGCCCCTCTGCCCCTCTCTGCTCACAGCCTCCAAACCTCGACCCGGACCGCCGCCGCGCCACTCTTGGGGTGTGACATCAACACTCTCAGATCCGAACCAGGTACATCACGCCAACTCTTCCTTGCCTCTCTCCTCCCTCTTCCTTCTCTCGTCTCCATCCCCTTTCCTCTCTGACTTCCCTCACTCCCCACCCTGCATTACTCCGCCCTCCGCCTTCCCTTTCTCAACCCCCTGCTCTCTCCTCCCCTCACAGATGCAACTCCCGAACCAACTCCTCCCCCTCTTCGGCTCCCAGCCCTCTATCCCTTCAAAGCCCTCTCTCCCCTCCTTGCCCTCCCTCGACCCCTTGCACTCCCCTCCCTCCCTTCCCTCTCTCCCCTCAGTAATCTGTTGCCCCTGTCACACCCTCGTGTTGCACCCTGTCCTGGCCCCTCTCTGCCCTCGTCTGCACCCTCTCCCTTTTTTAGCAATGTTGTCTCCCAACTGCCGCACACTGACCGGGCCCCATGCTTTGTCGTTTTGCACTGCATGATTTGGCACACCACATGTTCCAGCTTCCCCCTCCATGCTCGTCACCCTTCCCCACCCTCGCAAACCAGTCTACCACTCTCAGCTGCCATTAGTGTGAGGGCTGGATGCAAATGTCGCACCGGCAAGGGACGGGCAGAGGCACAGCTAAGCGCGCCCGAACTGGCGGGCCTGTTAGGTAAGCCATTCCGGTTTTCTATTACTACGCCTCCACACTGCTAGGTAACCTGCTCCATTTGAAAACATCCCCACACTGCTAGTTACATGTTTAACCCTCGCTCATTCATCCTTGTCACTATTTTGGGCAGGCCACGCTGTAGGGCTCTCATGCGTCGTCGGCCGGAAGGGGTACGCATGGTTTGCGAGGATGATCTTGAGGAGACCGAGGAAGAGATGCAGCGGGACAGTGCATCTACTTCATAAGACACAGCTTCACCCTGCACAATGTGTAGTGGGGAGTATGGATGGGAAGGGGGGGGAGAGATGGTGGGGAAGGGAGGACAGAGCAAGAGGAAGGGATGGAATCTGCGAAGGGAGGATTGAAGGGAGTATGCGAGGAGATACGGCGTGAATGGAGGGGAAGTGATGGGAATGGGTTACAGAAGTGGGGACGGGAAGTGCATGGACGACGAGGTAAGTTTCCGGGACGCGTCTCAGTTATGCCGCGTACACCCCGCCCCCCCATCTCCGCACCCCTCCTCCTACCCTTTCCGCCGATCTGGCCCGTGCCCTATTCCAGTTCCCCTTGACTACTGCTGGCGGCCGAGAGTCTGGGAAAGCTGCCTGCAGACCAGCGGGCGCCCATCCTTGGCGTGGATGAGGCGCGAAGGCATGGGCGCTGGCGAAGTGCCTTCGCGGGAGGGGGAGGAATGAGCGAGGGGGAGATGGGATGTGAGAGGATGGGGAGGGATGAGAGAGGGGGGGGCGGGATGCGAGAGGATGGGGAGGGATGAGAGAGGGGGAGACAAGTTGCGAGAGGCTGGTGGGGTATGAGACGGGGGAGGATTGGAAGATGGGAATATATAAACAGAGAAGGGACGGGATACAGGGGAGTGACTGGGTGCAAGCAAGAGGGGACATTGACTAAAGGCAAAGGCATTACAGAGGACAGGGAGAAAACGAGCCGCAGCAGGGGGGGAAGAGAGGGGTAGCAGGGGGGGTAGAGAGGGGTAGGAGTGGGTGTACTGATGGGATGCAAGGGTGTTACCAAGAGCACCTTTTTTAGAGAATCGAGAGCCGGGGGGACAGAGGAAATGGAAAGAGGGTTACGAGCGGGGAAATAAGGGAATGGATTGGGGGACATGAGGGGAAGAGAAGGGAGAAGGGACGGCAGGGAGGAGAGAGGAGGACCAGGTGAGAGATGAGGACATAGTGAGAGAGGGGGACGGGGGGGGGGAGAGGAGGATAATGGGGGAGAGGATGGTAGAGACGAGGGAGAGATGAGAGATGGGAGGAAAGGATGAGAGCGAGGATGTGATGAATGAGGGGAGGAACGGATGGCGGTGAGCCCCGTGGCCTGCACCATGAACTCGGAGGTGTTGGCATTCTGTGGGCGGGAAAACACGAAGAGAGCAAGGAGACAGTGAATGGAAGCAGGTGGCGACAGGAGGGGAAGTAGGAGGGGAAATGATTGGAAGCAGGGGGGGGGTAACAGTGGAACCAGAGTGGGAAATATGGTGGATAAAGGGGGAAAACAAGGGGAGAAAAGAGGGGAACCAGGGGCGGATAAATGGGACTGAGGGGGGGAGGGGGGAAGAGAGGGGGCATGAGGGGGGCAACATGGGAATTGGGTTGAAAGAAGTGGGCGTCCAAGGGGGGTGGAATATAGGTGGGAGGAGTTTAAAAAGGAGGGTGAAAGACGGGGAAGGAGGATAGGCGGTGATAGGCTTGGAGGGGGGAAATGAGGGGAAGGAAGGAGGAACATGGGGGTCCGAGGGGAGCAAGGGATGAGAGAGGGGAGGAGAGGATGATAGAGGGGAGGAGGGGATGAGAGAGGGGAGGACGGGATGAGAGAGGGGAGGAGGAAATGAGAGAGGGGAGGACGGGATGAGAGAAGGAAGGAGGGGAGGAGTGATGGGGAGGCGGGAATGAGAGAAAGAGGGAGGGGATGAGGGAGGGGTGGAGGGGATGAGAGAGGGGAGGAGGGTATGAGGGAGGGGAGGAGCGGATGAAAGAGGGAAGAGGGTATGAGAGAGGGGAGGAGGGGATGAGCGATGGGAGGAGCGGGTGAGGGAGGGAAGGCGGGGAGGAGAGATGGGAGGAGGGGATGAGAGAAGGGAGGGGGGGGACGTGTGAGGGCGTTCCGTTGAGGCGCATTACTCACTGTGGCACATGGTAAAGCACCTGATGCACATGCTTTGACCACCGGGTACAGTGTATCTCACACCTGAGACTGAGACTGAGCCTGAGCCCCGTGCACCTGCAGCGCAAGGTAGAGCACGGCCCCCACGAGACACAGGGGCCACGTGCCCTGCGGGGGAGTGGGGAACACGGGCATAGGGAGTGATGAGAGAGCGGCAGACGGGATAGTTGAGGAGAGGGAGGCGTGAGGGAGCGGAGGAGGGGATAGTAGAGGAGAGGAAGGGAAGAGATAGCGGCGGACGGGATGAGGGATGGGTGGGCAGGGATGGGAGAGCGGTCGACGGGATGAGAGCAAAGAGGGAAGTTGTTGAGAGAGGGGAGGGCGGGATGAGAGCAGAGAGGGAGGGATGAGAGAGCGGAGGACGGGAAGAGACCGGAGAGTCACGGATGGGAGAGCGCAGGACGGGATGAGAGAGTGGTGGACGGGATGAGATAGATCCGCGAGAAATGAGAGCTGGGAGGACGGGATGCGAGCGGAGTGAAGAGGGAGGGATGAGAGAGGGGAGGACATGTCACGAGGGATGGCGGGGCAGGGATGAGTGAGCAGAGTTAGGGATCAGAGCGGAGAGGGAGGGGAGAGCGGGGGACGGGACGAGAGCGGAGAGGGATGTGAGGAGAGGGGCATAGGAAGTGCAGGGAGGTCGGTGGAAGGGAAGGCGAGGGATGGGAAGCGAAGAGAATAAAAGGGATTGGAGGGGAGAGGAAGCAAAGGGATGGGAGGGGTAGTGCATTGTGAGGGAGTGATAAGGTGCTCTGTGGGGGGGAACAGGGAGGTGTGGCATGGGGGAAAGGGGGGGTGCGACCTGGGGGACAGGGAGGAGCGACATGGGGGGGGGGGTTGGAATGGCGACCGGGGAGAAAGGGGAGGAGCGACCTGCGGGGGTAGGGGAAGTGGAGGGGAAGGGGGTGTGCGACCCGTGGAAAAGGGGTGGAGCGACCAGGGGGAAGTGGTTGTGCGACCTGGGGTGAAGCCGATGAGCGCCCTGTGGGGAAGTTGAAGTGCGAGCCGGCTGAAAGGGGAAGTGCGACTCAGGGGAAAGGGGAAGTGCGACTCGGGGGAAAGGGGGAAGTGCGACTCGGGGGAAAAGGGGAAGTGCGACTCGGGGGAAAGGGGAAGTCGGAAGTGCGACTTCGGGGGAAAGGGGAAGTGCGACTCGGGGGAAAGGGGAAGTGCGACTCGGGGGAAAGGGGAAGTGCGACTCGGGGGAAAGGGGAAGTGCGACTCGGGGGAAAGGGGAAGTGCGACTCGGGGGAAAGGGGAAGTGCGACTCGGGGGAAAGGGGAAGTGCGACTCGGGGAAAGGGGAAGTGCGACTCGGGGGAAAGGGGGAAGTGCGACTCGGGGGAAAGGGGAAGTGCGACTCGGGGGAAAGGGGAAGTGCGTCCTCGGGGGAAAGGGGAAGTGCGACTCGGGGAAAGGGGAAGTGCGACTCGGGGGAAAGGGGAAGTGCGACTCGGGGGAAAGGGAAGTGCGACTCGGGGGAAAGGGGAAGTGCGACTCGGGGGAAAGGGGAAGTGCGACTCGGGGGAAAGGGGAAGTGCGACTCGGGGGAAAGGGGAAGTGCGACTCGGGGGAAAGGGGAAGTGCGACTCGGGGGAAAGGGGGAAGTGCGACTCGGGGGAAAGGGGAAGTGCGACTCGGGGGAAAGGGGAAGTGCGACTCCGGGGGAAAGGGGAAGTGCGACTCGGGGGAAAGGGGAAGTGCGTCTCGGGGGAAAGGGGAAGTGCGACTCGGGGGAAAGGGGAAGTGCGACTCGGGGGAAAGGGGAAGTGCGACTCGGGGGAAAGGGGAAGTGCGACTCGGGGGAAAGGGGAAGTGCGACTCGGGGGAAAGGGGAAGTGCGACTCGGGGGAAAGGGGAAGTGCGACTCGGGGGAAAGGGGAAGTGCGACTCGGGGGAAAGGGGAAGTGCGACTCGGGGGAAAGGGGAAGTGCGACCCGGGGGAAAGGGGAAGTGCGTCTCGGGGAAGGGGAAGTGCGACTCGGGGAAGGGAAGTGCGACTCGGGGGAAAGGGAAGTGCGACTCGGGGGAAAGGGGAAGTGCGACTCGGGGGAAAGGGAAGTGCGACTCGGGGGAAAGGGGAAGTGCGACTCGGGGGAAAGGGGAAGTGCGACTCGGGGGAAAGGGGAAGTGCGACTCGGGGGAAAGGGGAAGTGCGACTCGGGGGAAAGGGGAAGTGCGACTCGGGGGAAAGGGGAAGTGCGACTCGGGGGAAAGGGGAAGTGGCGACTCGGGGGAAAGGGGAAGTGCGACTCGGGGGAAAGGGGAAGTGCGACTCGGGGGAAAGGGGAAGTGCGACTCGGGGGAAAGGGGAGTGCGACTCGGGGGAAAGGGGAAGTGCGACTCGGGGGGAAAGGGGAAGTGCGACGCGGGGGAAAGGGGAAGTGCGACTCGGGGGAAAGGGGAAGTGCGACTCGGGGGAAAGGGGAAGTGCGACTCGGGGGAAAGGTGAAGTGCGACTCGGGGGAAAGGGAAGTGCGACTCGGGGGAAAGGGGAAGTGCGACTCGGGGGGAAAGGGGAAGTGCGACTCGGGGGAAAGGGGAAGTGCGACTCGGGGGAAAGGGGAAGTGCGACTCGGGGGAAAGGGGAAGTGCGACTCGGGGGAAAGGGGAAGTGCGACTCGGGGGGAAAGGGGAAGTGCGACTCGGGGAAGGGGAAGTGCGACTCGGGGGAAAAGGGGAAGTGCGGACTCGGGGGAAAGGGGAAGTGCGACTCGGGGGAAAGGGGAAGTGCGACTCGGGGGAAAGGGGAAGTGCGACTCGGGGGAAAGGGGAAGTGCGACTCGGGGGAAAAGGGGAAGTGCGACTCGGGGGAAAGGCGGGGGAAAGGGGAAGTGCGACTCGGGGGAAAGGGGAAGTGCGACTCGGGGGAAAGGGGAAGTGCGACTCGGGGGAAAGGGGAAGTGCGACTCGGGGAAAGGGGGAAGTGCGACTCGGGGGAAAGGGGAAGTGCGACTCGGGGGAAAGGGGAAGTGCGAACTCGGGGGAAAAGGGGAAGTGCGACTCGGGGGAAAGGGGAAGTGCGACTCGGGGGAAAGGGGAAGTGCGACTCGGGGGAAAGGGGAAGTGCGACTCGGGGGAAAGGGGAAGTGCGACTCGGGGGAAAGGGGAAGTGCGACTCGGGGGAAAGGGGAAGTGCGACTCGGGGGAAAGGGGAAGTGCGACTCGGGGGGAAAGGGGAAGTGCGACTCGGGGAGAAAGGGGAAGTGCGACTCGGGGGGAAAAGGGGAAGTGCGACTCGGGGGAAAGGGGAAGTGCGACTCGGGGGAAAGGGGGAAGTGCGACTCGGGGGAAAGGGGAAGTGCGACCTCGGGGGAAAGGGGAAGTGCGACTCGGGGGAAAGGGGAAGTGGCGACTCGGGGGAAAGGGGAAGTGCGACTCGGGGGAAAGGGGAAGTGCGACTCGGGGGAAAGGGGAAGTTGCGACTGCGGGGGAAAGGGAAGTGCGACTCGGGGGAAAGGGGAAGTGGCGACTCGGGGGGAAAGGGGAGTGCGACTCGGGGGAAAGGGGAAGTGCGCTTCGGGGGAAGGAAGTGCGACTCGGGGGAAGGGGAAGTGCGACTCGGGGGAAAGGGGAAGTGCGACTCGGGGAAAGGGGAGTGCGACTCGGGGGAAAGGGGAAGTGCGACTCGGGGGAAAGGGGAAGTGCGACTCGGGGGAAAGGGGAAGTGCGACTCGGGGGAAAGGGGAAGTGCGACTCGGGGGAAAGGGGAAGTGCGACTCGGGGGAAAGGGGAAGTGCGACTCGGGGGAAAGGGGAAGTGCGACTCGGGGGAAAGGGGAAGTGCGACTCGGGGGAAAGGGGAAGTGCGACTCGGGGGAAAGGGGAAGTGCGACTCGGGGGAAAAGGGGAAGTGCGACTCGGGGGAAAGGGGAAGTGCGACTCGGGGGAAAGGGGAAGTGCGACTCGGGGGAAAGGGGAAGTGCGACTCGGGGGAAAGGGGAAGTGCGACTCTCCGGGGGAAAGGGGAAGTGCGACTCGGGGGAAAGGGGAAGTGCGACTCGGGGGAAAATGGGAAGTGCGACTCGGGGGAAAGGGGAAGTGCGACTCGGGGGAAAGGGGAAGTGCGACTCGGGGGAAAGGGGAAGTGGCGACTCGGGGGAAAGGGGAAGTGCGACTCGGGGGAAAGGGGAAGTGCGACTCGGGGAAAGGGGAAGTGCGACTCGGGGGAAAGGGGAAGTGCGACTCGGGGAAAGGGGAAGTGCGACTCGGGGGAAGGGGAAGTGCGACTCGGGGAAAGGGGAAGTGCGACTCGGGGGAAAGGGGAAGTGCGACTCGGGGGAAAGGGGGAAGTGCGACTCGGGGAAAGGGGAAGTGCGACTCGGGGGAAAGGGGAAGTTGCGACTCGGGGAAAGGGAAGTGCGACTCGGGGGAAAGGGGAAGTGCGACTCGGGGGAAAGGGGAAGTGCGACTCGGGGGAAAGGGGAAGTGCGACTCGGGGGAAAGGGGAAGTGCGACTCGGGGGAAAGGGAAGTGCGACTCGGGGGAAAGGGGAAGTGCGACTCGGGGGAAAGGGGAAGTGCGACTCGGGGGAAAGGGGAAGTGCGACTCGGGGGAAAGGGGAAGTGCGACTCGGGGGAAAGGGGAAGTGCGACTCGGGGGAAAGGGGAAGTGCGACTCGGGGGAAAGGGGAAGTGCGACTCGGGGAAAGGGAAGTGCGACTCGGGGGAAAGGGGAAGTGCGACTCGGTCGGGGGAAGGGGAAGTGCGACTCGGGGGAAAGGGGAAGTGCGACTCGGGGAAAGGGGAAGTGCGACTCGGGGGAAAGGGAAGTGCGACTCGGGGGAAAGGGGAAGTGCGACTCGGGGGAAAGGGGAAGTGCGACTCGGGGAAAGGGGAAGTGCGACTCGGGGGGAAGGGGAAGTGCGACTCGGGGGAAAGGGGAAGTGCGACTCGGGGGAAAGGGGAAGTGCGACTCGGGGGAAAGGGGAAGTGCGACTCGGGGGAAGGGGAAGTGCGACTCGGGGGAAAGGGAAGTGCGACTCGGGGGAAAGGGGAAGTGCGACTCGGGGGAAAGGGGAAGTGCGACTCGGGGAAAGGGGAAGTGCGACTCGGGGGAAAGGGGAAGTGCGACTCCGGGGGAAAGGGGAAGTGCGACTCGGGGGAAAGGGAAGTGCGACTCGGGGGAGAAGGGGAAGTGCGACTCGGGGGAAAGGGGAAGTGCGACTCGGGGGAAAGGGGAAGTGCGACTCGGGGGAAAGGGGAAGTGCGACTCGGGGAAAGGGGAAGTGCGACTCGTGGCGGGGGAAAGGGGAAGTGCGACTCGGGGGAAAGGGGAAGTGCGACTCGGGGGAAAGGGGAAGTGCGACTCGGGGGAAAGGGGAAGTGCGACTCGGGGGAAAGGGGAAAGTGCGACTCGGGGGAAAGGGGAAGTGCGACTCGGGGGAAAGGGGAAGTGCGACTCGGGGGAAAGGGGAAGTGCGACTCGGGGGAAAGGGGAAGTGCGACTCGGGGGAAAGGGGAAGTGCGCGACTACTCGGGGGGAAAGGGGAAGTGCGACTCGGGGGAAAGGGGAAGTGCGACTCGGGGGAAAGGGGAAGTGCGACTCGGGGGAAAGGGGAAGTGCGACTCGGGGAAAGGGGAAGTGCGACTCGGGGGAAAGGGGAAGTGCGCTCTGGGGAAAGGGGAAGTGCGACTCGGGGGAAAGGGGAAGTGCGACTCGGGGGAAAGGGGAAGTGCGACTCGGGGAAAGGGGAAGTGCGACTCGGGGGAAAGGGGAAGTGCGACTCGGGGGAAAGGGGAAGTGCGACTCGGGGGAAAGGGGAAGTGCGACTCGGGGAAAGGGGAAGTGCGACTCGGGGGAAA